GCAGCTCAGCTGCTACAGATCCTGCAGGCCTGCACCGCCGCTCACCATCGATGGCAAGACCATCAACGTTGAGTTTGCAAAAGGTTCTAAGAGGTCAGGGTCCCACCTGTGTCCCTTCCCAGTTTGTCCCCCAGCTGGGGGCCCCCCATCTCACTCCCAGTGTCTGACATCCTCCCCAGGGACATGGCCTCCAACGAAGGCAGCCGCATCAATGCTGCCTCTGTGGCCAGCACTGCCATTGCTGCGGCCCAGTGGGCCATCTCACAGGTACTCAAAGACTCTTCTCCGCCCCGGCATCTGGATAGATGGCCACCGCGACCCTCTCGCACCCTCTCTGCCATCAGGAGGGCTGGCTTGCTATTTTGGCTTTCCGCGGACCCAAAACCCTCTCACAGTGGCTGCCGTGGGCTCTAAAGCCTCACTCCCTCCTCCTCACCTCCCAGGCTTCCATTTTCCATGCCGCTGTGGCTGCTTTTCTCTCCTGTGTGGCGGCTATTGTATCGTCCTGAATTATTACAACTTTCTCTAATAAAAAGGAATTGATAAGGGGCTAGAGGAAAATTGGGAGCTGAGACTAAAGAAGGGGAGGATGATACTTTCCTTGATCTGATGCCCAGCACATGCACCACACAACAGACGTACCAGCGCCAGCCCCGGGAGCGTTTGGCATGCATCTTTGTTCCTGTCTTGTTTCCGCTGCCTCCCTGTTCCGCTGTGCCCGGCAGCCCTCTCACCTCACTTGTCTGAGGGCCGCATGCTTTCTGTCGGCAGACACTAGCCTCAGCTGTGGGCAGCCGCTGCTTAGCAGGTTATTCCCCCTGTCTCCCCTCCTTTGCTAATGAACCCCTCCCACCTGCCCCTCAGGCCTCCCAGGGTGGGGAGGGTGCCTGGGCCACCCCCGAGGAACCATCGGTCGACTACAGCTACTATCAACAGGATGAGGGCTATGGCGGCAGCCAGGGCACAGAGTCCTCCCTCTATGCCCATGGCTACCTCAAGGGCGCCAAGGGCCCTGGCATGACTGGAGCCAAAGGGGACCCGGCTGGAGCAGGTGAGCCCCAGCGTCTCTCCTCAATCCCACGCGGGGGCCGGCAGGCACGGGGTCCTGGGCCCCACCATTCACAGGCGCGTTCCTCCCTGTCCGTCTTTCCAGGTGCCGAGGCCTCCCTAGAGCCGGGGGCAGATTCTGTGTCGCTGCAGGCTTTCTCCCGCGCCCAAGCTGGTGCCGCCCCTGGCATCTACCAGCAGTCGGCAGCCGAGGCCAGTGGCAGCCAGAGCGCTGCTGCCAACAGCCAGGTGAGGGAGCTGGAGGGAGGCCCCGAGGGGGTGGGCGCCGTGGGCACGAGCAGACACTGAGCCCTGTTCCCCTGTCTGGCCCCGTGAGCAGCCATACACCATCATGTCACCTGCTGTGCTCAAATCTGAGCTCCAGAGCCCCACCCATCCCAGCTCTGCCCTGCCACCAGCCACCAGCCCCACCACCCAGGAGTCCTACAGCCAGTACCGTGAGTAGCCCGGCCTGCGGGTGGGCGGTGGGGAGTTCTTCACAAGGCAGGGAGGGGTTTGACTCCCCCTTTCCATCCCCAGCTGTTCCTGACGTCTCCACCTACCAGTACGATGAGACATCTGGCTACTACTATGATCCTCAGACTGGCCTCTACTACGATCCCAACTCCCAGGTGATGGGGCGGCTCAGGGAGCGAGCGGGTGGGGTCTGCATTTCCCTTCTTGAGTTCCTCCCTTATGCCCCTTCCCCCACCTCCCCCCCCCCCAGTATTACTACAATGCTCAGAGCCAGCAGTACCTGTACTGGGATGGGGAGAGGCGGACCTACGTTCCTGCCCTGGAGCAGTCGGCTGACGGGCATAAGGAGACAGGGGCGCCTTCTAAGGAGGGCAAAGAGAAGAAGGAGAAGCACAAGACCAAGACGGCCCAGCAGGTGAGCACCCAGGCCCAGCAGTCACTGCTGGCTGTGCATGTCTTCCAACGACTGCATTTCTGTCCCGCTACCCCCGCTGCTGAGGGAACATGCGTATGTGGGCAGGAATTTTGCTCAAGGGATAACAGGCCCTGGTCTAGCTCTGTTCTTTGCTATGTGACCTTCAGCCAGGGCAATCTCCTCAGTACGGGACAGGGCCTCACACCTCCCTGAGGTGGCCAGTGCCATCCACGTGAGCTTTGTCAGCTTTCCTGTCCTCCAGTGGGAAGCCTCACGCTGCTGGTGGGAGTGTAGGCCGGTGTGGGCCTGCATACACCTTTGGGCTCACCCCACTCACACTATGGGGGTGTCTGTGTCTGCATGTAGATACGTTCCAGAGAACTCAGGCCCAGCAGGGGGTGGGTAGGAACCAGCCACTGCAGTGTTCTGTGTCTGGGCAGTTGGCAGGAACCTCAATGTCCATGTGTATAGGGAGAGTATGACAGTCTGAGTGCAGCCCTTAAAAGCAAGAAATTGGCAATCTGGTCAATTCTAAAAATGGTGTGCGTGGGGGGAAATCAATATAATATGGGATGTGGCAAAAGATCAGATGTAAATAAAAATTATAGACAGAGAAAGCCATCCTGTGCATTTTAGAATGGTGAAACGAAAAAACACAGGGAACATCGTAATGCGGGTGTCTGTCAGGAGAATGGGGGCACAGCTGGAGAGGGGCTTGCTGACCATCAATGACTGTATGACAAGAAATGGGAGCTTTCCCCACTGCCCGTCTCACCTGCTTGAGGTGCAGGGCAGGGTGGGGCGGGCTGCTGCAGGGCCAGGGGGCAGTGAATGGAGCTGGGTTTCTGAGCACCTCACCCCCCTCCTCCTCACCCCTAGATCGCCAAGGACATGGAGCGCTGGGCCCGCAGTCTCAACAAGCAGAAAGAAAACTTCAAAAACAGCTTCCAGCCTATCAGCTCCCTGCGGGACGATGAGAGGCGGGAGTCAGCCACCGCAGATGCTGGCTACGCCATCCTGGAGAAGAAGGTATGTTGTGGCCACCCATCCACATCCCTCGCCCCATCTTATCATCCTGCCGGTCCCTGTGAAGTCCCTGAACTTGTGTCCTTCCACCTCAGGGAGCACTCGCTGAGAGGCAGCACACCAGCATGGATCTCCCGAAACTGGCCAGCGACGACCGCCCAGTGAGTGCCCAGGCCAGAAAGGGGTCAGGTGCCTCTGATCTTGCCAGGCCTGACCTCCGGTGCCCTCCTGCCTTCTACAGAGCCCACCCCGAGGGTTGGTGGCCGCCTACAGCGGGGAGAGTGACAGTGAGGAGGAGCAGGAGCGAGGCGGCCCGGAGCGGGAAGAGAAGCTCACAGACTGGCAGAAGCTGGCCTGCCTGCTCTGCCGGCGCCAGTTCCCCAGCAAGGAGGCGCTCATCCGGCACCAGCAGCTCTCTGGGCTCCACAAGGTGACAGAGGGAGGTGTGGCAGGGAACCTTGGTCCGGCCCGGCCCGGCCCAGCCGCTTCACTCCTCCTGTCCTCTTGTAGCAAAACCTTGAGATTCACCGGCGAGCGCACCTGTCAGAAAATGAACTAGAAGCACTTGAGAAGAATGACATGGAGGTGAGGTGTGACCCACTCCTAGACTCCATCCCCCGTCCCTTGCCATGTCCATCCCCTCGGGCAGCTGGTGCTCAAGTTCTTAGCTGAGCACGGCCTGGCTGCTATCAGGTATCTCGCATCCTGTCCCTGTGAGGCTTTCTCCCGATCCCCCCATGCCGGTTGCTCACACCCACAATGTCCTGCCTGCCTAACCTGGATCCTCCTCATGGGACTCCCCGTCGATGCCCATATATCCTGCCAGTAGTGACCTGCTCCCCCATTCACTCACACACACAAACTTTCAGCAAATGAAGTACCGGGACCGGGCAGCCGAACGCAGAGAGAAGTATGGCATCCCTGAGCCACCAGAGCCTAAGAGGAGGAAGTATGGTGGCATGTCTGCCGCCTCCGTGTGAGTGCCCAGGGCCAGGTGGGGGGCCTGGGGCCAGCAGGCCAGTCACTCACACTGTACTGCTGTCCCCTGCAGAGACTTTGAGCAGCCCACGCGGGATGGTCTGGGCAGTGACAACATCGGCAGTCGCATGCTCCAGGCCATGGGCTGGAAAGAGGGCAGTGGCCTGGGTCGCAAGAAGCAGGGCATTGTGACACCCATTGAGGTGAGTCTCCTGTGATCCCACCCCCATCCTCCATGTTTCTCTGCTGCAGCCCCACCTGGCCCCCAGCCCCCCAGTGGATGACCGTAAGCAATCTGGCACCAGTTGGCCCTGTGCCCTGACCGTCTGCCTTCCTCACACAGGCCCAGACACGGGTGCGGGGCTCCGGTTTGGGTGCCCGAGGCAGCTCCTATGGGGTCACCTCCACCGAGTCCTACAAGGAAACATTGCACAAGACAATGGTGACCCGCTTTAACGAGGCCCAGTGAGGACCTGTGAGAGCTACTTCGATATCTGCTCCTACCAGCCCGGGACGGGAAGAATGAAATGTCTGCTGTTCTGAGCAGGGCTCTGCACCTGTCCACCAGCCCACTCCCCAGCCAGACAGGCCCTGACCACGTCAGACTTTGAGTTGGTGACTTGTTGGAAAACTGGGCTAGGATCAAGTTCTTTTTGTAATAAAAGCTGAAAAGTCCACAGCTTGCATGTCTCTTTCTCGTGTCCCAGCATTGTTTGTGGCCCACACAGACACGGGAGCATACACAAAGATAGAGAAGGGGCTGAGGTGGGTGGCAGTGATGGCATTCAGTGGGTATACATGGCAACTACCAGCTCATTGCGGGGTGGGGGCAGGCAGAACATGGGTTCTGGCCTGTGGCCCAACCCACAAGATTCTGGTCACAGCCCTTCACCATTGTCAGGGCCAGAAGGTCCTGCTGTGCTAAGAAATTCAGTATCACCAGGGCACCGGCAAGCTTGAGGTCCACCTGGGTCAGAGCCAGGATTTGGAATACCCCATCCCCTGGCCTTGCCACCCCGCAGGGGCATTTGTTCTGTAATGGCAAGGCTACACTGCATTTGGCCCTCCCTGGGTCTGGGACAATGCCCTAGGGCAGCGGTTCTCAACCTGTGGGTCTTGACCCCTTTGGGGGTCGAATGACCCTTTCACAGGGGTCGCCTAAGACCGTTGGAAAACACATACATAACTACATATTGTTTTTGTGATTAATCACTATGCTTTATGTTCAATTTGTCACAATGAAATTGGGGATCACCACATGAGGAACTGTATTAAAGGGTCGCAGCATTAGGAAGGTTGAGAACCACTGCCCTAGGGCATCTCCAAGTGGATAACAATAGCAATCTGGCACCAGTAGGCCCTGTGCCCTTGAAGGGCTGATGACCCCAAGGGGTGGAGAGAGAAGCTTGGCCTGCCAATCCCAGGTCCCAGGGATCGCTACCAGGACCGTTTGGATCTACCCTTGTCCCCATCCTCTCCAGGCTGTTACCATGGGGCCCCAATAAAGATTTCTCTTGTATGGCTGGCAGCAGTAAATGGCACAGCCACTCTGGGAAACTTTGTTTCATACAAAGGTAAGCATATACTTAACAATTCCATTCCTAGATGTTTACCCCAAATAAATGCAAACATCAACAAAAGGACTTGTTATATGTGTATTCATAGCAGCTGTATTCGTAATAGCCCAGGACTGGTAACCCAAACATGCAACAAGAGGAGAATGGATAAATTATGGTCTATTCATATAATGGAATACAACTCAGCAATAAAAAGGAACAAAATACTGATACAAGCAGCATGACCGAATCTCACAAACATGTTGAGGGAAAAGGACACAAAAAGAATGTAGACTGTCTGAGTCCACTTTTGAGGAATCCTCAATCAGATGGAACACATGGTGATGGCAGTCAGAGTAGGATGGAGGTGGAGAGGGTGTTTCTACTGGAAAGGATTGCAAGGTAGCTTTCTGGAATGATGAAGAGGTTCCATATCTTTTCAATTTTTTACTTTTTTAATCCTCACAGAAGATACGTTTGTATTGATTTTAGAGAGAGAGAGAGGGAGAGAGAGAAACATCAATGTGAGGGAAAACTCCCTCACATCGGTTGCCTAGTGCTCAAACCCGGGATTGGACCCTCTGCAACCTAGGTATGTGCCCTGATGGGGAGTGGAACCCATAACCTTTTGGTGTGCGGGAGGATGCTCCAACCAACCGAGCCACTGGCCATGGCAGTTTCCATGTTTTGATTAGGGTACTCCCTCCTCACACCTGCCATCTTACTCTGATCCCCTCATCACTTCTGGGACTGGCAGTAGCCTTTTCACTGGTTTTTCTGCCTCCACCTTTCTCCTTAATTTCTTCTCTCACCACACAGAGCAGCCAGATAGTTTCTATGACGTGACTCCCCCGCTGAAAACCCCCTTTTACAGCTCTCCCATCTCTGGCTGGCTTACAATGCCCTACTTGTTATGGCCTCCACCTTATCTCACGGTGCCCTCCCTTCCTCACGCCTTGCCAGCTGTGGACTTTTGTGCTAGTCCTCAAACATTACAGCAACTTGCAACCTCGGGGCTTTGCACCTGATGTACCCTCTGTCCAGAATGGTTTCCCTGTCTGGGATGGTTTCCTCGTGTTACAGGGGCCTCACTTCCTCACTTTCCACATGTCACCTTGTCCCAGAGGCGTCCAGCGACTACTGTACTTGGGGTACCAGGGCAGGTCTCTGAGGTCAGGGAAAGGATAAATAAGAAGGGAACGATCTGATGGAAGAGCGTTCCGCTGCCCTTTCCCACGCCCCAGAGCACCGCTCCCAGAGTTCCACAGTTAGGTTTACTTTTTCCAATACTCTGGCGCGGATGCTCACCACGTGCACCAAGCACCAGCTGGGCCGAACTACTACCCCCAGCATGCCCCGCGCTTCTGGGAAGGACCACAACCCGCAGGGGTGTTCGGGTCTGACGCAGGCCGCCGATGGCGCGGCCGCTGAGGCGGACACCCCTCTGAGCTGAGCGTCCGTGGTACGTTCCAACCGAGGCACCCGAGGCCCCGCGCTTTCGAGCTCCGCGCAAACTCTGGCTTCTCTTGGGCGACGGAGAAGCTGCCTTGCTCTTCCGTTGCCCCGTGGCGTCGGCTCATCTCCAGCAGGAAGACGAGGCTTCCGCTCGACGCAGGGGGTGAGTTAGAGCACGGTGGGTCCCCCCAGCCCGTGGACAGCATCTGAGGGAGGAGGTCTCAGTTTCGGGGAACCCCCAATGGGCATGTTTGGAGGTTCCGGGCCCCGAGTGGCTATTAGGGGCAGCTGTTTGGAGAGGGACCCTAAGCAAGTGGTCTTCAGGGACTCGAGGTGGGATGTGGGATCTGTTTTAGGGAGTATCCCTCGGAGGCAGGATGTATCTATCTGTCAGAGACAGGGTGTAAGAGGATGTTGGAGGAGACCTTTAGGGTCTGTGTATGAGTATTCTGAATACTCTGTTAACGGGGCAGAATTTGGGGCGCTCCCTAAGGGGGTAGGTGATATTTGAGGTTCCTGAAGTCAAGGCTGTATTGGGGGACGGCTTGTTTCAGGAGAGGTCCTGGTGACTGTGGGAACGTTCAGGACCAACGTGGCATTGTAAGGGTGTCCGTGGCCTTTGTGACCTCTGGTTCTATGGTGCGGTACCCCCGTGCTCGAGCACTCGGGGCAGAGAGACTGGAGACGTCGGGGCCCACAGGCTGGTAGGGAGAAGGGTTCCCTAACCCGGACTGTGGAAGGGGCACTGAAGCCCTAAACGCTTCCCGAGGGGACAGGGCTCCAGCGAGCCTTCATTAGCCCGGCTTTATTCATTATTCATGAGGAGGTGGGGCTGTTAGGAAGTCCATTTTTGCCTCTTTTGCACCTAGTGCGCTGGAAGTATGACTTGTGAATTATTCAAGAGGGTTGGATGAGCATGCTGAAGGGGCGTTCTTCAGTTTTTCTGGCAAACTAGAACTCATTGATAAATCGTAAAGGTGAGTAGCTCCCTGAGTTTTCTGTAGCTTTTCCAGGGGCGTTGTGCATAATTCATGAGGGGCGTGGCTTACAAGGCTTCATCTACATGATCCACTGTTAGCTTTCCCTTAGAGTCTCCAGGATTTAAACCTTTCCTCTAGGGAACGGACGAGGCCTCCCTCATACATGGTTCATGTCTTTGTAAACCCACTGATCCCAGATTATCAACAAAGGCTCTCGACTCCAATCCCATTGATCCTTGCCAGCTGTGTGATCTTTGGCAAATCTTTCTGTGAGCCTGAAAAGTAGGTATAGGCAACATGATGATCAGATTAGTTTACATGCATTTAGCACTTTATTAGCCTATTAATCCCCACAACAGTCCTAGGAGGTAGCTTATTATTATCCTATTTAATAGATGAAGAAACTGGGACACCAGAAGGGTAAGTAATTTGCCTACAGTAACAGTCAGTGAGTGGCTGAGCCAGCATTCAAACCTAACCAGTCTAGTTCCAGTCTGTAATTTTAATCAAATGCTATAATCGACCCCCCTCCCCAATTTAATGGTACTACTACTAATGTCAGTCATTTAGCACTCTGTGCCAGGCACCGTTCCAAGCCTTTTCTACATGTTTACTCATTGAATCTCCATGACAAGGTAAGTCACTGTTCTCATTCTATGGGTGGGGAAACAGTGGCCCAGATCAGTGAACTGTCTGGCCCCAGGTCACACAGCTAGTCATTAGTGGGTAGGGATGATTTTTGTGAGGGTTTAAGAACTCTAAGGAGGTTACCTATGAGCTGAGAGCTGAAGACAAGAAGGAACCAATGTCCTGATCAGTGGTACAATGCATGGAAAGGAAACACCGCAGGAGCCACCGTATCTACGAATGGGATCTGCTGTTATTCGACAGTGTTGGGCGCTTATTGTGTGCCCAGGGTTTATCTCTGGTGATTTGGTAGTCTGCCCTACCTATTTAATGGACATTGATGGCCTTAGCATTCCAGTGTCCTTCTGGGAGGGACATTACCTTTGCATTAATATATAATATTTACATTTTAATATATTATATAGTAATTTAAGCATCCTATGCCAGCACTGCCCTGAACTCATTCCATAATTCATATTCTCTGATTTTGATAACGCACATTGCCTTTATGAGGTGAGTACTATCCCCATTTTACAGCTGTGGAAACTGAGGCACCTGTCAAAAGCATTATGAGCCTGGATTTGGTTGGAGCAAGGCAGCCCTGGTTCATGTGCAGTTAATCAGGGCTGAGGAGGAGGCAAATACATTTCCCCTGGGTTTCCCCTGTGGCTCCTATCCTTGGTCTTTAATTATTCATGAACAAGAAGGGGTGGTCTTATTGCCATGCTGGAGTATCCTAATCTCTACTTGCTGGGCAGGGCTGTGCATCCAGCCTCAGGCGTAGTTCATGATAAGCGTGTGTGAACTTTCTTGACCTCCCA